AGATGTTAAGTCGTATACTTCGTTTTTGGGCTAAATATCAAAAAAAGTATCACGAACACAATGGACGAATTTCCAAACAAACTAGCGAATCTCATCGACGAACCACATCACACCCACCTATGTATGCATAGACACATAAACACACCAAATCGACAAATCAGCGCATAGTGCGTATGCTTATGATTTTATAATATTTATTGTATACTATTTTATAACGTACTTAAGAACTCACGATATTATTTTTAAAAGAGATAACACACTTCTAACCATGTCTCTCCGGACCACTAACTTCCTTATTTAGGCTATATTACTTTTCTTGGTAGAATGTAGAGAACGTCGAATGTATGGGAAGAGGGTTAATCACCGCGACCTTACAGATCTATCATGTGTCGCCCTTTCTTGAGTTATAACGAGTTATAACTCATCATACAGTCTCAGGGATTTGACAAATGGCACTATGTGAGATGGCTTCACAGAGAGTAATTCTCCATCTCCGATGTATATATCAATCGTACCAAAGTTTATTGGTTCGAATGGTTGTCGTCTCGGCGTACTCTGAGGTGTTCTCTGAGGCGTAGTGATGAGGTGTTCTGGTGTTTCTCCATTTTCCCCACAGAATCTGCATTCGCCGTTATTTCTTATCTTCCATCTACTGAAGTTGAAGAGACAGTCTCCTGTTAAAAAACCCTTTGTAATCGAGATTTTAGTGCTGCTTGACTATCGGATAAGATGGCTATTTCCTGTTTTCGATAGTTCCTATCTAAGATAAGTTGTATGCATCTTTCGATAGCGTAGATTGTAAAACGTGTAAAATAGGCGTGTAAATTAGTGAAAATTACTATGAAATATTACTAGCTGTATACTACCAGCTGTATGAGTAACAGGTAAGTATAAGTAAGTAAGTTTTGTACGATAGTTAAGTGAAAAAAGAAGTGTTGCTGGGATGTACATGTCCCACAGTGTTATGCGGGATATACTGTATGATCGAGAAAAAACGGCGTCGGCGATAGCTATGAAATGAAGATCGCTGTCATTTTATATGTAAAATTAAATGGAAAATGTCATCGATCGTCATTCCCCAGCCAACTGCACATCTTTTTTTTCGATCATACGGTATTTTCTTGCAGTGTTGTAACGAGGGACATAATTAACTCTGCATTATGTACAGTATGCGGCTGGAACAAACATGTCCGACGTTAGTATACTGCAGAGAATATCTGACTCAAGATTCCAATATATATATATATATATATATATATATATATATATATATATATATATATATATATATATATATATATATATATATATATATATATATATATATATATATATATATATATAATATATATATATATATATATTTTATATATATAGATATATATATATATATATATATATATATATATATATATATATATATATATATATATATATATATATATATATATATTGGAATCTTGAGTCAGATATTCTCCTCTGCAGTATACTAACGTCGGACATGTTTAAACACCTGAGCCGCATACTGTACATAATGCAGAGTTAATTATGTCCCTCGTTACAACACTGCAAGAAAAATACCGTATGATCGAAAAAGATGATGCAGTTGGCTGGGGAATGACGATCGATGACATTTTCCATTTAATTTTACATATAAAAATGACAGCGATCTTCATTTCATAGCGCCATCGCCGACGCCGTTTTTCTCGATCATACAGTATATCCCGCATAACACTGTGGGACATGTACATCCCAGCAACACTTTTTTCACTTAACTATCGTACAAAACTTGGCTCTACTTATACTTTACCTGTTACTCATACAGCTGGTAGTATACAGCTAGTAATATTTCGCCAGTAATTTTCGCTAATTTACACGCCTATTTTACACGTTTTACAATCTACGCTATCGAAACATGCATACAACTTATCTTAGATAAGGATCTATCGAAAACAGGAAATAGCCATCTTATCCGATGTCAAGCAGCACTAAAATCTCGACAGCAAAGGGACAGGAGACTGTCTCTTCAACTTCGTAGATGGAAGATGAGAAATAACGGCGAATGCAGATTCTGTGGGGAAAATGGAGAAACACCTCATCACCTCATCAGCCGCCTCAGAGAACACCTCAGAGTACGCCGAGACGACAAACCATTCGAACAATAAACTTTGGTACGATTGATATATACATCGGAGATGGAGAATTACTCTGTGAAGCCATCTCACATAGTGCCACTTGTCAAATCCCTGAGACTGTATGATGAGTTATAACTCGTTATAACTCAAGAAAGGGCGACACATGATAGATCTGTAAGGTCGCGGTGATTAACCCTCTTCCCATACATTCGACGTTCTCACATTCTACCAAGAAAAGTAATATAGCCTAAATAAGGAAGTTAGTGGTCCGGAGAGACATGGTTAGAAGTGTGTGTTATCTCTTTTAAAAAATAATATCGTGAGTTAAGGCACGTTATAAAATAGTATATACAATAAATATTATAAAATCATAAGCATACGCACTATGCGCTGATTTGTCGATTTGGTGTGTTTATGTGTCTATGCATACATAGGTGGGTGTGATGTGGTTCGTCGATGAGAATTCGCTAGTTTGTTTGGAAATGGTCCATTGTGTTCGTGATACTTTTTTGGATATTTAGCCCAAAAACGAAGTACGACTTAACATCTAACATATTTTGAAATAAAAAATAGATTTCCGTTAAATAAAAATTTTGAGATAATATATTCAGGGGCAGCTAGCTATAGTCACTACTTGACGATTTCAAATATTGAATCTAGTCATTTGTCTTCTCTTTTTTACCAGTTATTTTTTTTAAACGGTCAAATCTAAGTTTGAGTTGTGTTTCTTCGATATCATCAGTTCTAAACTTAAGAATTTAATTTAATAATTATTAATTTTTAAATTTTTTCTACATTTTTTTCTTCGAATTTCTAAAAATATATATTTTAATTTCTATAAGATTTTTGTTAGACGTCAGGATAAATTTAGTTCGTTAATCGCGTGCCGTAACACCTAACATATTTTGATTTGTTTGTTTTTCATTAGCCGTTGAAAAATTGAAAAGAGCTTTTGCAAATGATAAAATAGACTTGATGGAACACCTATAAGTTATAATTCGAACTTCAACAAAATTGCCAGCGAAATTATTTCTATGCAACTATTGGCAAAAGCAACATACATACTAATAATAAAGCCTAGATTACTAATTGCTTATGACTGTTACACAATCTATATAGTGTTAACATGCAAAAGTTTATTTTAAACAATATAGATTTTGAACATGTATTTCAATTTTTAAATTCGTTGGTGCCAATACAAAGCATAATTTCAGTTAGTAATCCGTGTTATGAATTCAAATTCAATTCAAAATTTCATTCAATATTTGAATAAGTTCTTATCAAATAACTGTTAAGTTATTTTTTATAAGGTCTTTTTTCTCCATTTTAATTTTGTTTAAATAAATATTATAAGCAAATATAAATATTATAAACTGACTCAATTCATGAAGAAGATACATACTGCTTAAAATACAGGATGACAAAAATAGTGTATCTACCTCTTCGTGTAGTATGAAACGGATGAAAGGGGGGTTCAAGATATTTACGTTTAACGTTTAGAGGTCATTGATATTTTGCTATAAACTGGCTAAATATTTTTGAATATTATTTTAATTTTTTTTGTTCTTTGACATTGTAAACATTTATATATGTTTATTTTAACAATAAGACTGACAATATTATTTGTATAATGTTTTGTATTATCTTTTGTTTGTTTGTGTACCTTGTTTTTTTTTACTTTGTTTGTTAGTTTACCTTTGTCCACAAATTGAAAAAATTTTTGACAATAAAGGCATTTATTTATTATTTATTTATTTATTTATTTATTTATTTATTTCATATCGAACGGGTTAATCCAAGTCTAATGGCAACCTTTAATTTTTTTTAATATCATTAACTGGCCAATGTGTAAAATAAGTACTCATATTGATTCCTCATCAAAAATATGAAAAACATTTCCTATAAACATACAAAAATGTAGAAATGCATAGTTTTAAAGTTACAAAATGTTAAAACTTTGAAAAATAAGTCTTTTATAATTACCTTAAATATCATTGCTTTTATTAAATATGCTGTAGGTATTACTGAATATACATACATTTTTACAAAATTTAATAATAAATTAGACTAAATAAATAATTTATTGATTTTATTTTTATTTCAATTTTATTAAATATTGTGATTAATAAAATTCAATTTATCTCATCAAGAAGATCGAAATCGATAAAATATCAAAATAGAACTTTTAATCGGCATTAAACGACCAAGGCTCTTTGACCAGAAAAAAAAGTCAGTGGAGAAAAGATTTTTTTAAGAAAAATATTCGAGTGATAACCTGTATGCACGTCCCTGGTGAATCTGCCCACACTTTTTTATAAATTATATGTCGTATCGAGTTTTACCCTCAAAATTTCAGTCGAGTCACTAAAATCACGTGAAAGAAAATTATAACTGAAAAAAAATTAAGACTCTTACCCCCTGTAGATACAAAACAAAGCTAAATCGGACCTATATTGATAAAAAATAGATTTTATTTTTACGTGAATGGGGAGAGAGATGGCACATGTTTTTTTAAATACACGAGAGATGGCCCTTATTTTTTGAACCACCTTGTATAATATTTTTCACTTTTATTGCACACACACATTTTTGATGTTTGAAAAAAAAATCATCCAGGTGGCATAAGGCAATAAAATGTTAAATATATTTTATAATTTGTGCAAGTATTTAGGACAACAAAAAATAGTAAAAGAAATGGTTTTCAAATAATAGTAATAATGGAAAATAATTATGTATAAATCATAAAGCAGACTGAATTGTATCCTTAAATTTATTGATAAATGGGTTTCATGTAATGGTATCACTAAGATAGTTTTCTACTAATTTTCATCGCAACTGCTAAGGATTCGTATACGTTACTAATAGTTACCTGACACAAATTATTCCTGTCAAATCGTTTTGACAATTAAATAAAGGGGTTTTAAAGGTTTTATTATTAGCATAAGCGTCGTAAACGTGTAACTAGAAGACACAATTCAAATGGAGGAAATAGAAATATCAAAGGTACACACAGTTTTTCGCGATCAGCCAATTTCGTGTCCTTGGATTACCACTCAACCTTATCCATCAACAGAGGCGATCAAAAATAAACTAAACGAATTTGTGAAGAATCACGGACAGGCTTTAAATAACACCTCGGTAAGTAGTAATTATAAAAGTGTTGAAAAAATGTCGCTCAAGTCCGTAATGCAGGTAATCGCTTAATTGAGCGAAAAAACGCGACATTATTAATCTAAAAAATATAGATACCTCTAGATCAAAGTATTATACAGGGTGGTTCGAACTGTATTCCGGAAACTTTGGCAGCATATCCTGCAAAAAAAATAAGTGAAAAAGTTCGTATAAACGTATGTTCTAAAATGCTTAGTTTCGGAGATACAGGGTGTAGAAGTTTCATTTTTATTTTGATTTTCTCCAAATAATTTTTGAACTAACGTCAATATTTGAATGAAAATTGGTGTCAGAGAGTTCTTTGACACGAGAAATTTGATTTTGATGTCCATCAGAGAATAGGTACATTAAAGAAATGCTAACTTCATGTTAAAAAATGGAAACAGACGCTACCTGGTGTCGCCTGGCAGTACTAGCTAAATTGAGTGGAATTGGAGGGGCGGGGCTTAAAAGAGGGGAAATTTTTTAAAAAATACTTTTATAAGTATCACTGACTTACTGTTTAAAGTTAATAAACATATTTTTTATTACTTTAATATAATTTAATGTATTAAAAAATATGTCTATTAACTTTACACAGCAAATCAATGATATTATTAAAGACTTATTATTTTCAGAGAAAATTCATAGTAAATAAATTACACATTAGTAAACAATATCATTTATTTTTTAGAGCTGCGATTTATATTACAATAATATTGAAATATATATATTTTTTAACAATGAAAAAGAATATCCCGGAACCTGAAAAAGAAAGATGATCAATTAATGACTTAAATTAGTTCAAAATACATTTTGCAAATAACTAGTGAATTGGACAGATAAACATACTATTAAAAAGACATTTTAGTAGTATATTATCATCTATTTACTGATAATACATAAGTATATAATAGGTAAATAACATGCATAAGGCACTATGATACAACTACCTGTATCATGATAACACACTAACATCACAAAAAATATATGCTAATTTAAATTTCTTTAATGGTCTAATGAAACACTATCTAGCCTCAATGCATGCCATTCCAAAGGCAAAAAAAACTGTTATACCAAATAAATATAAGCTGAATAAAACATAAACCAAGCCAATGTGCATAAACAACCAAAAAATGCATCAAAAAATACTTTTATCAGATCATGCCCTTGGATATATTATGTATTTTATATATCGCACATCCCGTTCAAAAGTTTACTAACTCAAAATAGAGAATATAGAGAACATTGTCAGGAGAAGTAAAAGAAAATTTAAGTTAACGCAATATGCTCCTTTTTGCATATTAATGGCCAAATAATGTAATGTTGATTTAATAAAAATTTAACTGGCATCCTTCTGAGGTATAAATCAGATTAAAAGGACATTGTTTTTGTAATAATTGTTTGTTCTGTAAACATTTTTTGAAGACAATACAGTTTTGAACGGGCTGTGCGATATAAACAAGGATCTTACTATTATTTGAGGTTATAAAGTATTTAAATAATATAAAACATAATCAAAATCATTTTTCATCATAAATTATAGAGGTACTTACGTGTTTTGATATTATTATCAGGAAATAATACGTTTAATTAAACAGGTACGCTGCCAGGCAAGTTCTATCGGCGGGTCTTTGCAAGAGTTGAAATCTAAAAATACAAAAATACGTTTACATCTTAGTTGTATTTACGAATAAAGTATTTGTGTGTAATTTCTGACTTACCAGTTAACTGAATAATCGCATTAAATACATCCAAATGGTAATTTAATATTGTAAAAAGCAAAATTGTTTTATATCACTTGCCAGGACAGCCCGGCCAGCTTCTTTGTTGACAAAATGGCCGCGGTATCATGATTTAAGCAATGTGAGTGACAAAGAAAGCCAATGCCTGGCAGATGTTGCTTTCTTTGTCGTTGGTCCTGGCACGTTTAAATTTGACTGTTGCCTGTTTTCCCATACAAGTGACACCCCCGTGATGTCCATCAAAAGTTCTTGTTAGTTGTTTGTAAAGGGCGCCACCTACATTATTTGTTTTGACTGTTTTGAAGAGTAATAACTTTTCGTCCGTACTTGTATAAAACTACTGTGAAAAATGTGCATTTCCGTAATTTTTTTACGTAAAAAATATCTCTTGGTAAAAATCGCTACGAGCAACCGTTCTCAAGATTTTTAGAATAGAAATAGTCAATACGTGTCATAATTGACAGAAAATACACGCATGTTGTGTTATTAGTTTACTTTCTATACTGTCAGTTTTGGATAGAACAATCCTTATCTCTATAATATCCATGGCCTAGGCATAGAAATAAAGCACCTTTTGTTCGCACAAATGTATGAAAATATATTAATAAATAATGGTATATATATTGTTTTATCAGGAGTAAAAATGACGTTTGACTACTACATACTGCCTACTTTGACATACAGCCGAGGCCCAAGTCATTTTTACTCCGAATAGAACTTTTTCATAAATCAAACTTAACATTTGACCTAAAAATTTAAACAGGGTGAGACAAAATTAATATTGAAATTTGGTCACTTTTAATAGCAAGTTACTCTTTTATTTTAAACGGAACACCTAGTATATTATTCCACTATTCAATGGAAAATTCATATCTCTTCAAAATACTATTAAAGTTCAAACAAAGATTTTCCTAAACTAAACGTTCTCTAACCCAATGTGAGTACATACTATCAAAGTAAAACCTCTGAAGGCGGGTAAGGGGACAAATAACTCACAATCTTTAAGATGTTTATTTAAATATAAATGCTTCAAAAAAAGCAGAGGGGCGACATGTTTCGGGACTTACACAGTTCCCATCATCAGGCCCAGAAAGCTAAAACAATTACAATCAGAATAATAGAAAATTCCAATAGTCAGAGGTCAAAATTATAAAATACGATCACAAAACAAGTTAAAAGTTTTTTTTTTAAAAGGTTAAAAAGTTTTATATCTATCACAATAATTGTTCAATCACAGATAACAATATGGTAAGCTTAATTTGAAAATTAAAAACAACTAGACTAAAATCATAAGGTGAGGGGAGCCGTATAATCCACTATAATTAGATAAATTGACAGAAAAAACAAACAAGGCAATAACCAAATCATACCTCAATGCACAATTCAAAGAAATTTACTTAAACATCAGTCAAATGTATTTTGAGTAATATTTTTTTTGTATTAGTCAAGTAAGTTAAGAATTATGATTATTTCAATTTGTATATGTATAATTCTTAACTTACTTGACTAATACAAAAAAAATTATCACTCAAAATACATTTGACTAATGTTTAAGTAAATTTCTTTGAATTGTGCATTGAGGTATGATTTGAGTATTGCCTTGTTTGTTTTTTATGTCAATTTATCTAATTATAGTGGATTATACGGCTCCTCTCACCTTATGATTTTAGTCTAGTTGTTTTTAATTTTCAAATTAAGCTTACCATATTGTTATCTGTGATTGAACAATTATTGTGATATAACCTTTTAACCTTTTAATTTTTTTTTAACTTTTTAACTTGTTTTGTGATCGTATTTTATAATTTTGACCTCTGTTTGACTATTGGAATTTTCTATTATTCTGATTGTAATTGTTTTATCTTTCTGGGCCTGATGATGGGAATTGTTTAAGTCCCGAAACATGTCGCCCCTTCTTTTTTGAAGCATTTAAATTTAAATAAACATCTTAAAGATTGTGAGTTATTTGTCCCCTTACCCGCCTTCAGAGGTTTTACTTTGATAAAAGATTTTCCTAGATATTTCCATTTTTATGACTTAGTGTCAGTAGATCTTCATTATTTGATAAAAATCTAGATGGCTGTGATATGTCTGACGTTACATAGTTACAAAAACGTTACAAAAACATAGTTGTCAAATTAGTTCAACTTTAACAACCACGGTTATCATTTTGTGTCAGTTAAAACAAAAAAAAAATAGAATTTTTCCGAAAATGGAAACTTATCATAGACCAGACAGAAGTGATATGATTCTATAAGTTGGTGACTGCAGTGTGCACTCACCAATTAATGGAATACTTAAAATGTACTTATACTTATTTTTTATGGCGATATGTGTTAGACAGTGACAAATCTCTACCATTTATAGTTAGACAGTGACAAATCTCTACCATTTATAGTCGACAACATGAGAGAAATTACTGTGGCTTCTTTTCGAAGTACCACATCGAACACTCCATATATGTCTTTTAACATGAAAGGATCGTTTAAAGAATTATTTTATGCAGTGAACAGACATGAAAGCATTTTGATTATTTGATTTCATCTAGCTGATTTTTGTCACATAATTATTCGTTTATATCTAGTTTTAATTCTGTAAAATAAATAAAAAAATAAAGTTTTAATTCTGTAAATATGTTTCAATCGTTGTTTGTAAACTTTTTATTACCGTTGAGTATTTGACTCTACATCCTTTAATTTTTGTTAAATTTACAAAAGCTATATCACAGCCACCCTAGATTTTATCAAATAATAAAGATTTACTGACGCAAAGTCATAAATATGAAAATATCCAGAAAAAACTTTGTCTGAGTGGTAGGCAACCTTAATAATATATTGAAGGTATATGAATTCTCCATTGAACACCGCAATAGTATACTGGGTGTTCCAATTAAAATAAAATAAATGCATAATTTATTTTTAGAAAATTTCTTCTACTGATGCTCAATCCTCCTCAACACATTTCTTCTACTTTTTACGTCTGATGCAACTGTTTCCTGATACCCATCCGGCAACTTTGCACACTGTACTGACTTTAAGTAAGAACAACTTTTTCTATGCAATTGATAAACTTCTTTATGCCAAAAAGTATAAGAGTAACTATACAAGGAAACAAACATATCCCTACAAAAATACTAGAGGCAGAGGAAGTTACACAGGGTAAATACTTTTAAATTTTACATGCATCCATTCCTAAACTAAGACTTGTCTCTTTATGTAGTGTTAGAGGTAGAGCAGCCTTTAACAGGAACCATCAACAGTATCAACCGGTATCAAGATCTATATCTGATGATTTAGCGGAGGTGCAAAGAATAATTGGACTGGCAGAAAAACCTTACATAGACGTGCAAGCGATGGCTTCAGATGAAAATAGTCATGTAGCAAATGGACAGCAAAATATAAATACAGCTCATCAAGTTGTTAATATCTGTATGGAAAATACAGATCAAGGCGTGGCAGGTATTAATTTGTTTTTTACTGCAATTTTAAAACATATCAATTTAAAGTACCTATTTGTATTTGACAAAACAGATTCTTAGAGTGGAGCCGATCTACAGCGAACATTGCTGCTCAGTAATGCAGAATTATTTTTTTTCGGGGATATACCGGGTGGTGCATCGTCGTTGGAAGCATAAGAAATCGTATGAAAATTTTGAAATGTCCAGGTATTGGCTCCCCTGTTAATTTTACAGAGAAGTTGTTACCCAAACCAACACATACCAAATTTGAACAATTTTAGAGAAGCCGATGTAAAATAATTTAAGAAAAAGTGCACCTATTTTTAAATTAAAACTGAACAGGCAACAATGCAAAACCAGGCAAATACCAACATACTTTAAGTTGTCATCCTATAATTTTGTGAATGTCAAATTGTATTTTCTAAACGTTAGGTTTTTACCTCATTCGAACCAGAATGGGATTTCTTATGACTCCAACGACAATGCTGCACCACCGGGTATAACCTTTTGATATAGATGTTTATATCCGAGTGTGATATGTCACCAAAGTCCAGCACCAGTTTACTAAACAATTCAAAGCTAGTACTATTCCAATGGAATCTGGTCCTTCTACACCATGTGTGTAATGGCGTTTTACCAGAATCTGCTCACAGATCTGAAGTATATCTCTTTACTTCGAAAATTTGTTTGCTGCAGTGCTTTCTGGGGCTCGAAGAGAACGTTCCAAGTTTCAACCCCCTAGTTAACAGGGCTCGAGTTATGACGCTCAGTTTTAATACATCGATTTATGACACTAATTCTATTATTTTTAATTGTGTTTTCTAGATATTGTGAATGATCGTAAACTAAAAAGTATAAAGTGTAATTGAAACCACTAATTGCGAGATTTTGAGTGAAGCTTTATACCTTTTAGTTTACGATCATTCATAATGTCTAAAAAACACAATTAAAATTAATAGGATATCCTAGCAACAGCTTTCGGTAGTCAGTTGTATCCGTAGAGAGCCTAATCACAGTTTAAAGAATACATAGCAGTTGGCCCACCTAAGGAATTCTATTGTTATTTTGACTTCAAAGGCGGCCCGTGACCCTTCGAGGTGACAAAAAATTTGTACGTTTACCGGGTGCAGCGGAAGTGCTATTTTATCAGTCAGAACGCTGACCGTAAACGAGGGATCAACTAAAAATACTAAGGAATTTTAATATAGCAAGTAGAAAAATAAAAATATTATGGTGAATACATTAATATTAAAATATTAGATATATTATTCTATCCTAATTCTTTGGAATATGGAATTGTCAATAGGGGTAATTATTATTAATAATTATTATGGAAACACCATATGAAAAATGTATACTAAATAAATATAATAAGTTAATTTATATATATATATATATATATATATATATATATATATATATATATATATATATATATATATATATATATATATATATATATATATATATATATATATATATATATATATATATATATATATATATATATATATATATATATATATATATATATATATATATATATATATATATATATATATATATATATATATATATATAGATATAGATTTATTAAACCGCTTTATACGAGCCCAAAAACTACGTTGCTTCATTGGGCTCAGACCCGATTTCGACATTTCAGGCCCGGGGTCGGGTCTGAGTACGATTTCAGTGGTTATTGTCTATAACGGTTTCCCCACTTCCCTGACCAAATTTCAGCTGGGCCTGAAAAATGGTTTTATGTTTTTTATATACGATTGGGGGTACACCGGTATTGTCACGGGCGGCGCCACCTTCGACATTAGTATAAGTGTATAAGCCGATTTACGTTGAATCGATGTATTCAGACCCAAGAACCGGCAACACGGTAAAGCAAACTATTAAAGGGAAACGAAGATATAGCCGTGTTATATTTGGTAGAAAACAAAATGCTCATACTCTAATTAGAATATTAAGAAATTCAGATGAAAAAAATGAAAATAAGTATTCTTTTAAAATTATTCCTACTAGTTTCATTTAAAAATATCAATAATTTACGGTCTAATCTTTAATCTTTTTTTTGAATTGCTGTCATCACCGGATTTGTAGAAGTAACTAAATTTTATTGTCGAAACCGGTCGTTCGGCTAATAAATATTAGAAACAAAATTATTTGGATCGGCGGGTTAAAAATTGTACGAGTACCTAAAATTTATTTCGATGCTATGATTTCGTTGTAGAAGTACCTAATTTTTTTTTCATCTAAATCGATCAGCGATCGTCGCGTCGCGCGTCGTGTCAAAGAATTGCAGGAGTAACTACAAAATTATTTCGATGCTGTGATTTCGCTGTAGAAGTAGGTACCTAAAATTTTTTCGTCTAAATCGATCGTCGTGTCAAAAAAATGTACGAGTACCTAGAAATTTATTTCCATACTATGACTTCGTTGTATTTAAACATTATTTTCATTTAAATCGATCGTCGTATACCGGGTGCGTCTCAAAAGTGGCTCACCCCTACAACTTTTTTTATTTTGTCAGATAAAAAACGAGTTTTGGTATGTTAGTATATAACATAAATTAAGATTGATTGACGTATTCAATTGTTTTTGGTCACTTCCTGTTTCACCGGAAATGACTACAACTTGATTTTTAAATGGCACCCCCGGTATGTTTTTACATTATTCGATAGAAAATCACACTGAATAGAATGGCATATCATAAATATGTCAATTTTTGACATTTTCACATATGATTTATTTGTAACATGCGATTCATAATGACAATTTGACTCGAGTACCAAATTGTGGTATCAAATTATTCGGAGAAAAATGCTTTTTCCAAATATGCTAACGAGCCACCTTTGTTCCGTTTGAAAAAATTGAGATATGATTAAAAATTCGATTTTGATATCTTATAACGGGCCCGGACAAGACACGAAAATCATTAGACTATCAAATCTATTTTTCCAAGTTTCCTTGATTAAAAATTAGTGTTTTTAACACATCCATGGCACTCTATAATAGATAGAAATTTAAAATACTATTTTTTAAGCGAAAATGTCAAAAGTTGACATATGATATATTATTCTATTCAGAGTGTCATTTTCTATCGAATAATGTAAAAACATACCGGGGGTGTCATTTAATAATCAAAAGTTGTAGTCATTCCCGGTGAAAATGGAAGTGACCAAAAACAATTGAATACGTCAATCAATTCCAATTTATGTCATATACTAACATACCAAATCTCGTTTTTTTATCCAAAAAAAATAAATAAAAAAGATATAGCGGTGGACCACTTTTGAGATGCATCCGCCAATAGAATTACTGGAAATCTATTCAAGGTCGTTACGCCGTTACGCCGATACGCCGTTTTTAGGATAGTGTAGATGCACCCTCAATAGAATGACATATCATAATATGTCAATTTTTTTACATTTTTGCATATGGTTTATTTGAAATTGTAACATGCGCTTCATAATGACAATTTGACTCAAAATACCATGTGTGTGGTACCAAATTATTCGTAAAAAATGCTTTTTCCAAATATGCTAACGAGCCTCCCTTGTTCCGTTTGGAAAAATTGAGATATGATTAAAAATACGATTTGGGCATCTTATAAGAACGGGCCCGGACAAGACACAAAAATCATTAGATTATCAAATCTATTTTTCCAAGGCTCCTTGATTAAAAATTAGTGTTTTTAACACAGCCATGGCACTCTAGATTGAAATTTAAAATACAATTTTTTTAAAGCGAGAATGTCAAAAGTTGACATATGATGTCATTCGATTCAGAGTTTCATTTTTTATCAAATAATGCAAAAACATACCGGGGGTGTCATTTAAAAATCAAAAGTTGTAGTCATTTCTGGTGAAACAGGAAGTGACCAAAAACAATTGAATACGTCAATAATTCCTAATTTATGTTATATACTTACATACCAAATCTCGTTTTTTTATCTAAAAAAAAATTAAAAAGTTATAGCGGTGAGCCACTTTTGAGACGCACCCGGTATAAAATGACAGCAATATTCATTTTATGCCACCGCTGACGCCGTTTTTTTTTCGATATGGTAGTTAATCAGTACAATAATTAATTTTATTACATTACTACGTTCACTAAGATCTAAAATAGTAATACTGTGGTAATACGTTGTATATTCAGTTTTCGGTTGGATGCTATCTACCAACACCATATAAATATGACAAACACGTTCTATGGTTGCATCTCTATAATATGTTCTATCTTCTATCTATGTTTACTTACTATGTATTCGAAAACTTAATTTGAGTAAAATATATGGTAGTATAATATTATTAATATTAATATTCATTAATCGCAATATGAATGAGAATAGTGCTTTCTTTTAATCACAATTCTAATAAATTGAACTTGAAAGTATGTTTCCCAGAAAAGTAGGTGGTTCCCAGACTATACAAATAGGGAATTCCCAAAAGTTCATGCTTTTAAACTTACACTTTTTTTTACTGCTTTACTGCTATATGAATTTTATTTAAATATAAATGATTACATTACACCTTTAAACATTTTGTTTACAGTTTCATCCAAACTCAACTCGCGAGATTAGACTTTAAATTATTTATATTTTGTGACGGGGATTCGTTACAATTATTTTGTTGGGTGTCGAACCATAAACTTTATGATAAAACTCGAAGAATTTCAACAAAACACTTTTATGAAACTTTACGTTTCCGTGACAAATCAAATCATATGTTTTTTCTACCTACTGTCCCTCGATCTTTTTTATAATGGACTCGTCCAAGCGGTCCGAGAGGGGCCCTATATCTGTTACAATTTTTAAATAAAACTTGTAGAAACAATCTTAAAGAATACTTACTACCTATTTTGATTTTTTTCGTCTGAATCTCTTAATATTCTAAATGAATACACTTTACTTATTAGATAAGTATACACATGGCATATATATGATTCCAAAAAACGGCGTCAAATTACCTTTGAAATGACAAACGTCAATGTCGGAATCGATCGTCGTGTCAAAAAATTGTACGAATATCTAAAAATTTATTTCGATGCTATGATTTCGTTGTAGAAGTAGCTAAACTTTTTTTTCTTTTAAAGTATAAAGATAATAAACGGGGTTCCATCATCACTTAGTAAACACTTACAAAATCTACTAAACGAAATTGATAATGCATTGTAACTTGATTATGCTTATTACAAAGAAATTTAATTTTTAAAGAAATTTCAGATAAAAACGCTTTCGTACAGATGCATTTATAAGACAGAATATATCTAATACTAACAATAAGTACAATAATATTCATTATAGCAGAAATTCACCGTCTTTACTTCTGCACTGTCATCAATTGCCGTTTCAAAAGGTCCGTTCGTCTAATTCTAATATAAATATTTGAGAATTAAAAGCGGCAACGTCGTGGGTCTGGCGAAAACGAATAAACCTCTATTTTTTATATAAATGGGACAAATTAAACGGTCCAGCATCAGGGCCTGAAGGCATCGCTCGAACATTTTTCGTCCGATATACCCCGGGTCTGACGGCCTACTTAACGTACCGGTCTGACTCAGTCGATTTAATAAATATATATATATATATATATATATATATATATATATATATATATATATATATATATATATATATATATATATATATATATATTTTTATTATATATATTATATATTATATTTATTAAATCGACTGAGTCAGACCCGGTACGTTTAAGATAGGCCGTCAGACCCGGGGTATATCGGACGAAAAATGTTCAAGCGATGCCTTCAGGCCCTGCTGCTGGACCGTTTAATTTGTCCCATTTGTATATAATTTTTGGACGCTATTAAGGATATCTTCCTTTTTACGTGGAAACCCACGTTTGGCAAGTTCCACTATCCATCTAAGGAAATAATCAAATTTTATAAAAATCAAGAAAGCCCTTACATGAGCTTCTTACTCGACCAGCACATATTCCTCTTTTGCTGTAAGTATCGGAGGCGGCCCACATGTATCTTTGTGTCCCGGGTTTTTCATTTTAAATTCAATGGTAGATTTTGGCACGCCATATTTTTTTGCAGCTGCCCTTAGTGAGAGTTTGCCAGTTTTTACATCCTGCACTGCAGGCTCAACAAGATCGGAATCATATACAGATCTTTTAGGCATTATGTTAACCTACAAAACAAGCGTGTTAGTTATTGGACATAATCTTTATTTAGTTATTGGACAGGCGTCCAATAACTGCTTTGGGGTACTTATATGCCAACGTTTCTTGTGTTATAAGATTTAGCAGAAAACGGGCATTTTTAGGTAATGTAAGACCTAATGATTTTAGGAAAAGTAGTAATTGGACAGGTGTCTAATAACTGAAAAAAAATTGGTTATCAAGTTTAGTTATTGGACACCCCCCAAATCTAACTTTACTCTTTCGTGAAATGCGTTTTAAGCATGCAAAAACATGTGAAAAATGATATTTGCTCTGTGTATACTTAGTGAAACGTCATTACATACCTTATTTTACACTTAGCACCTCACTTGTCACGAAAACGGGTTCTTAACGATATCGTAAGAAAAATTCCGGTATTCGACACAATCAACAGCTGATGTAAATTTTCCCGCCAAAACAAATTTTAAAGATGGCGCATTATGCGCAGCCGCCACATAAATGTTTTTAATGCCATCTATGCGAAATCGAAGAAAATAGATCAAAAAGAAATCTTATTTTTGTTTTGTAAAATATATAAATATAAATATATATATATATATATATATATATATATATATATATATATATATATATATATATATATATATATATATATATATATATATATATATATATATATATATATATATATAGCATATATATATATATATATATATATATATATATATATATATATATATATATATATATATATATATATATATATATATATATATATATATATATATATATATATATATATATATATATATATATATATAATTTGCATATTTCTTCAAATTATATATAGCATGTTTTGCTGTATAGATGTTTGCATTTTACTTTAATTACTATCTACCCGGAAAGCCCAAATTTTATCGCAAGATAATAAAAGTACCTTTGCATACAACTTGTGTTGCCATTGTCAATTTTTTTGGATTTTTTTCTAAATTTTATGATTATCATGAACAGTAATTATGACTGTTAGTAGTTAATTGTGTAATAAATTTCACTGTTCGATAAAATTTAGTAAAAACTGAAAAAAAATTGACAATGGCAAGACAAGTTGTATCCAAGTACTTTTTATTACCTTTTGATAAAAAGGTAGATAATTCAGGTTAAATGCAAACAGCTAAAAAGCAAAACATGCTATAACTTAAGAAATATGCAAATATAATTTATTACAGTATTTACTACTAATTGAAGAGCACACGGGAAAAATAATGAAAGTGCCAAAAAGGGGGGGGGCTACACCTTTAGGTACCTAAATAAACGGGATATCCGTATCGGCAAACATAGAAACAGGCATTTAAAAATGGGAAAAACGACATAGACTCGGATATAAAAGTCCATGCGTAATTTGAATTAAAAAAAACGGTTTCCTGAAATTTATCATTTCTGGATACTCATCGTTTTTCCCATGTGCTCGTCAATTGTTATATTTACTGTTACATAAAATTTAGTAAAAACCTTAAAAAACTTGTCAATAGCAGAACAAGTTGTATGCGCGTATTTTTATTACCTGACGATAAAATTTGGATTTTCCAGGTAAGTAGTTAAAGTTAAATACAAACATTTAAAAAGTAAAACATGCTATTTAAAAAAATGCAAATATCTTAAAAAATAATTTAATATGCACTTTGCAAACCGGTAAATACTGCAAAATCCAAAACATAATAGTAAAGTATCTACTACTACTTTAAAATATCTACTAAAATAATAAACTAATTGTTAAAAGTAAATATTTTGTGCATATTTCGAGTAAAATCTTTTCTCAATTTATATGTATATTTTTATAACAATTTATTCATAGTTAGGTTTCCATAATTATAATATACTTAATATGTCTAATACTTTAATTATTATATACTTAATATCCTATACTACATAAACACATAGCTTCCTTCCTCTTCTGGGCACCTAAAAAACGATATAGGTATTGTCTGTCATTCTACTTTCACAACCATCCACTACACAAATATTTCAAGTAGACATTTTATTCATAATTCGAACAAAACAACTAAAACACTATCTTTGGTTCACCCTATGCGTCGGACCGAAAACAAAACTAAAATAAACTTGGAACGCTGGGTACACGTCGAGCAACGGATGTAGACTGACCCAAGTCTACAAAATAGGCGGAAAGCGGCGGGAGGAATTTTGATACGGGCGAAGAGTGGGTCAACTGATATATTTATATTCTTTAAACTGTGGCCTAATATTTAGCTTATACAAAAAAAGCTTCTGTTTCCGATACGCTTCAAACCAAAAAATATATGGAAGGAAAGGATATGGAACGGAAGGGAAACGGTACGGATAGTGTGTATTGTCCTTAATGCTTCCGTTCCGTATCAGTTCCATACTTTTTATTGTACAATTTATATCATTACGAAAGTTTTATTTTAAAAATTTGTATCTTTTGAAAAAGGTAATAGATTTAATTAAGAGGTGAAAGAGTAAATAAATATCAGCAAAATGTTAACAGAGCCGGTACAAATGTAAGAACTTGACAACGCTGTTTCCAATACGCTTCAGTCCGTCCGCCAAAAAAATGTATGGAAGGAAAGGATATGGAACGGAAGGGAAACGGAACGGATAGTGTGCATTGTCCTATTCATTTACATGATATAATATTTTATGTAATCGGAAGGGAAACGGAAGGTAGCTGATATGGAAGGTGTAGTGAGAATCAACCTTAAGAAAGAAAACTATGTGTATAAACATACATCGTCAGCCAACTTAATTTGCAAAAGGTGGCAATATGCCTTGGAAGTTTCCTAAAACGGCTAGGGTATGTCGGATTTACACAGGCGCAAATGGTATTACATGATGTCGACTTGTAGGAATTTTCGGGATCAGGATCCCGTTTTGAAATACCGGGATAAGAAGTTATAATCTAGGTTTGGTTTGGTTTGGACTGGGTTACACTTTGCACTAAAAGCGATTCTAAAAAGAACAATTTTCGACTGCCAGGTCTGCTAGTAAGAAAATTAAGCTTGAAGTATCACAACACAATACACGTAAATCAAAAACTAGTAATATAAAACTAAAGTGTCAAAACAAATCAAAATGTCAGAAAATAAATAAATAAATGTGGAAACTCAACATTTTTTACAGCAGAGCTACCACCTGAATCGGCAACGAGAAATTAAAATTCTAGTCAGTAAGCCCGGCGCCGCGCCTGCGCGAATATATATATATATATATATATATATATATATATATATATATATATATATATATATATATATATATATATATATATATATATATATATATATATATATATATATATATATATATATATATATATATATATATATATATATATATATATATATATATATATATATATTTAATAATCGCGCCCTCGATGACTTAACTAAAAGTTTATTTGGTATCGCTTATATGGATACACATTTTAAAATCACAAATTCGATAAAAACTGTTAGGCTAAAAGCTGTATCGTGTGAACAGGCTATTAAATATTTTTATTATGATGAAAAAAACTGTGTTATTTTTTTCTGTTTCATATATTTTATTCACTTTGAAATGCTTTCAGGCAGTCAAACGTTTATTGATAATGAAACCCAGGAAGTGATCGAGATCGTATGTTTTGAAAACGATCAACAAATTGAGGAACAAAAGGTCGACGATCATATGGAATTAGAATCGTTTACCGACAATGCAATCGAAAATAGTTATTTAAAGAATCAAGAGCCGCCTGTTATTGTAGTTGACGGTATAAACGAATTGAATGTGGATGGTGAAGTCAAGAAAGGTAAACCATACTTATTTATTTATTTAGATCCATTAAATGGATATGTATTCATATACTTGAAACTAAAGAAACTCAATTATTTTTGGAAAATACATATGTAATTTTAAATATCAGCAAACACAAATACCATATGATCGAAAAAAAACGGCGTAACGAAAAAAATGATAATTTTGGCGAGACCAAACCCGAGATGGTCATTTACTTGGCTCGTACTCTTGGTTTCTTAATGGCGTTTACTGTTAGTTGGTCCTAAGAAAGTTGTAATTTATTTTTATATTGAGCAAAAATTGGTGTAGTTTAAAATTTGAGAAAACTTTTTTTTTGAAAATAAATTTGTGAGTCTGGAAACGTTCTAACATGTTTTAATATTTTTATAATTAGTGTTAAGTTTTGTATGTATGTATGTATGTATGTATATGTTAAGTTTTGATAATAATTTTTAGATCAATTTTTAATAAATGACGTCTAGAAATTGACCGCGTCAAAATTATCATCGATTGTCATTCCCCAACCCTCTTTGACGCCGTTTATGTCTTTCGATTATAATCTTCTTTATAATGGAAAATAAATTTCTTGCAGTTTTTAGGTATATAATAAAATTATATAAGAGTTTCTTGCCTTGAACTGCTAATATAGAAATTAATTCCAGGCTGTGTTCGTCATAATGTGGCAGTGGCAGCTCGTGGGTATAAAATCAGGTGAAGAATTTATTTTCATAAATTAAAAATTTTTTTAGATGCATTCACCATTTTGTCAACATTTTTTAAAATATTAATTGAAAAATTTTTTTGCATTCACCATTTTGTCAACATTTTTTTTGTTATTATTTATACACTAATACCTTAATATAACCTAATATTTTCGTTTTAGTTTGGGCTAAAACATATTAAGTAAAAAGAGATAAAACCAATTTTCGATAAACACATTATTTTGCATTCCAGTGAAAATATAATTAAATTTAAATTAACTATAATAAACATTATATACAGTGTCCACCATAAAGTTGCATCCATATGGACGTTTTTTTTTTATATTAGAGTGTTAAAAAATCTTTTTGTGCCAAATACTTCTGCTTTGAAAACAACTTAAAATGTAGCAAGTCAAAATTGACAGCTAACAGCAAATACAACATATTTAAAAGAAATTTTTAAAAATTGGTTAAATTATTATTATTTTAAAAAAGGTGACTAACAAAATTATGTTTCAACTTTGACTTGGTGCATTTTAAGTTGTTTTTAAAGCAGAATTGATTGCCACAAAAAGATTTTTTTAACTCTAATACCAAAAAAACCGTCCATATGAATCCAACTTTATGGCGAACACTGTAATTATTGAATGGCTTTCCCGAAAAACGTTGTAACCGACATATTTTTCAAAATAGAGATTTCAGTGAAATAATTTTGTAATTTTCATAGGTATAACGTTTTTTCCTCGGTTTTTTCACTGAAATTTCGATATTGAAAAAAATGTTGGTTACAACCCAGAAGCCATTCAAATATTATTCAATTATTACATTAATTATTATTAAATTAATGTTTACTAAGCAATATATTAACCAAAATAAATTTGACTTATTTTATATTACTAACCTTACTAATTTTTGTAAATCAGCTCAATTTTTCTGTTCTTTATTAATGCAAACTTATCAGTAATATCGTCGTTTAATTAACTAATTATATTCACACACATTAAAGTCTATTTAAACGAACATTTCATTAAAATTAAGCTTATAGAGTCTAGCGTTTTTTTCTAAAGCATCGGCTATTATATTTTGATTTTTTTTAAATTTCTTAGCATTAACTGACATTTTAAATGTTCTGCAGAATCCCCGTGTTTATGCAAAAATCCTGTTATATTTACGAAATCAGTGAACCTTTCTTTATTCCAAATGCCATGTTTATTAGAAAATAGTAAACACAACCAGACCAACAACTAATACATAGCCAATTAAAATCAGAAAACCAGGAAGACTTAAATTTAATATTATAAGATTTACCACTTTTTCTTTTTTGCAATTTATGGTTAAAGTTTCAGTTGGTCGCCCTTGAGATAAAACATCCCTCTTGTCCACCGTCTGAAGGGAGTTTCCAATAAATTGCACACCAAGTCATTAATTGGGTTCATTTTTTACACATACACACACACACACAAAACAGTTTTAAAACACAACAACAAAACAAACAGCAAAAATTAACAAGTTAAATAAACAAAAACCATTAACAAACAACAATAAATAATCATCAACAACTTTACAGTCTTTACACGGTTAATTACTCGCGGATGTAGTCGAATATTAGCATAAATGCATAAATTATGCGCCACGCCATCCACCGCTACGCATTTCCTGAACAACTAAGTTGAAGGAAGAAGGAAAACGAAGAGAACTGCCCAAAAACTCATTCACATCAGTCACCGATAATAAATTTCGGGGCGGGGGGATTTACCGAATCTGCCGCTAGGCTGATTTCACGTTACCATGGAAACCGTGCAGTCGCTTGGCTCAGGAATGCAAACATTTTCACTTGCACTTCTGGCTTGTAGGCGCGTGCGGGCCTATAATGCTACTTTTTCAGCCGGAATTAACGGTGTGGTGGACCTATTATGCAGAGGTACGCCCAGAAAATAACTTATAAAAAATTACCATTTTATTTAAATACATGTAAATATATTAAACTAAATTAATATTTTAAGCAGTAAAGTTTTTTCTTTAATTTGAGTATTTTTTCGGTGAAGTGCTCCTTCACCTACTGCGCCTGACGAGCCGCCACTGTAATGTGGATCAACCTGCTCTAAGTACCGGTTTCGGGGCCCTACCCCATCATCAGGTGAGCTTGGGTCGTTTCCAAAAAATGACGAGCACAGCGCAGAGTATGTAAATACGACTTGTCTTACCGCTACTTTACGACAAGTCGTATTTACATACTCTGCACTGTGCTCGTCATTTTGTGGAAACGACCCAAGCTCACCTGATGATGGGGTAGGGCCCCGAAACCGGTAGTAAGAGCAGGTTGATCCACATTATGACGAACACAGCGTGGAATTAATTTAAACCAAACCAAATCTTCTTTATTAGTTTATCGTATAATACCTGAGCATGTTTCGTCAATAAATTTTGATATCATTGCGATGGAACAAGAAAGAACATGTAAATGTGGATCTAAAATACTAATAGTTTTATCTAGAATACTCGTAGTTGTTATAGATAATTATTTTATTATCTAGTTATCACATTGGCCAACCTACGTCAAATTAAATCCGAAAAAAAACTTTAGTAAATAATTTAATATCAATTCAATATTTAAATATTGCATTAGAAATAAGCTGTAATCTGCAAATAAAAACATATACGTATAAACACAATATCAGTATGTTAGATTAATTAAAATATGATTCTCTGTGGCGGGTTCATCTCTTCAAAAAAGTCCAATAGGTATATCGCCACCAATAAGTTACAAAATAACATAGTTATTTTTTGTAAACACTGCTGCGTTAATCCAAAGGAGACCAGCATTATTTAAGCATTTTTGGTCCGTTAGACACAAATTTGTTTATTAGCGAATCACTGCTGACAAGCTGGTCTTCGTTGGATTAACGCATCAGTGTTTACAAAAAATGACTATTTTATTTTGTAGATTTTTCTGACAAATACCCATGGACTTTTTTTAAAATACGATAGAGATTATCAAAAAAAGTCTATATTTAAGACAAGAGCACATCTTCAAATCATCATTAATAATCATATTTTATTATATTTTTATTAACTTAACATTATTTTCGCTTTCTCAAGTCGATTTACAATACATCCACATCCATTACATCTACAAAAAAATCTACTTACTCTTTAAAATTTCCCACAATTGGAAACAGCCACATGCTTGAAACTGTAAACATTACACCTTTCTCAGTTCAAATAAAAACGCGATATCCCCATCATGTCAATACTTTGCCACTTTTATAATAAAGCAAAATTCGCTAAATCATTTTATATAAAAGTTTCAGCTAGATTTGCATATAATTTATAAACTATAGTTTCCCCGTATTATATCTAATTCACTTTAACGCAAAAGGAATATTGAAATAGGCAATAGAAATAATTTTAATTGCCAGCTTTTAAGCTACTGACATTTTCAAAGTATCAGCATGCGTCTTATCCAGACAGAAATATCCACCAACTTTAACCTTTGAGTGCTAATAGAAATAGTTCATAGACAGTCTAATTCCAAGAATAAAAAGGAAATACAAACATATAGTCTTGGATTCCAATAGAAGAATGTTGTACCTACAATGTACTGTATACTTATTATTTACTATCATTTTTAATTATAAATATATGGCAATTTACTAGCTGTAGCAAAGAATATTTTCAGAATAATAAGGTATATTTTTCTAGAATTTCATGACAGTGATATTTTTTTTTGAAAAACTTCGATATGTAGGTTCTATAATGCTCTATAAATAGATAAAGCAAGATCTTGAAAACAGAGAGATTGGTTTAATAGAGCAGGAATATTTTCAAAAAACTACATTGCAGGAAGCATTTCATGTAACAATTGGGAAAACAACGTTATTAGGGTAATTAGACCTCGCTGAATACAAATCTGCCTGTTGCCAAAGCAAATTTCGCTTTGACCGGAAGTCCAGAATCCAAGATGGCGGCCAAACACTATATTTTTGTACATCTCCATTGTCCGATAACTAAAAATAGTGATTTAAACGTCTCTTGTTTTTTTTTCGAATACCAAACACATTGCAATTCTTAGAATTTACTCACCTGAAGTTTGGAAAGCATAAGTTCATTGATTTTCGTGCATCCGTTATCCGACGATACGATGATGGTACGATATTAATTTTATTGGTTGATTTTAAAGACTTCGATTGGTTAACCGTTTCTAACCAATCAAAGTCTTTCAATTCAACCAATAAAATTAATATCGCATCATCGGACAACGGATGCATGAAAATCAAGCTTTAGGCGACGAAATTGAGAAAACGAATATTTT